AAAGATAAAGTGTGTAGTTGGGAATCCGGGTATAAGTCAAGGGGGTACTTATGTATTTTTCCTTTACTTCTTCTTCTTCTTCTTCTTCTTCAATTCAACCTCAAGTTCCATTTTATCCTTCTGTAAGCCAAGAATTATCTCTTTCGATTGGTCAGGAAATTCCGGATCATACCACTGGAAAAATCCACAAGCCACACGATCCTTATCCTGAAAATTTTAACCAACCCATTATAAATAAAAGCAAAATTTAGCTATATTATATCACATAAAATATGATGATTTGAAAGATGATTACCCCATAGTACTTGCATCCAAAAAAACGTCTTCCTGGGTTAGCATTTGTCGTTGATGTTCTCAAAGAAGCAGACTGCCCACAACCACATAACATATTAAACCTCATGACTCGTCTACAATGGATGTCCTTCTTTCAAATTAATTTGGGTAACAATGAAGGATGGATACAATGGGAAGGATAAAAAATAAACTCAATAAACAAAGAGAGAATTTCAAATGGATTAAGATGAAGAAAGAGATAAAAAGGGTGAAGAAAGGCGAAGAAATGGAGAAGAAAGGTGAAATAATGGAGAAGATGGTGTAATATAAAGAAAAAAGGGATAAAATATAAGTTTTTTAAATAAATGGCTAATTAGCCGTTATTCAAACTGTCAGGTAAGCCCCTTTTCATGCTGATTTTCACTGTTTACGCGCTCTTGCACAACTAATTTCACACAATATGCCACATAAGCGACGATGGGGGGTTTATTATGAAGGGGGATATAGTTCAGGGAATTTTCGGGGATACTCAATAGTTTAGATAGGAAACTGACAAATATCATATAGTTTAGGGGGTTTAAGGGTATTAACTCTATATTTTAGTCAAGAGTCATACACGAGATCTTTTTAGTTAAAATGGGTTGAGTTTAATATTTTTTATTTTTTTTACTTTAAAAATCAGGTGCCACATCATTAAAAAGTTGCTGGAGATATTACTTTGCGACTAGTGATCTTTCGAGTAAAATAGTGAAAGATAAGTAATTTTTCTGAGACAAAAGAAAAAATTATGATATGCATCTACTGTATAAATATGGTAAAAATTAGTTTTTCTGGTGATAAATAAGTTCTTGAGTCCCTGTTGCAAATAGGGTAAAAATTAATTTTTCGGGTCATATAAGTTGTTAAATTTCACTAACCTTATTAAGGAAAAATTTGGTAACTAAAGTGGTAAAGAAAATTTTAAAATTGCTTTAGTTCTTATGTTGAAATTTTAGATATTACATTTTGGATCCCCTCATATAAAATCATGATTATGCCTCTGCACGTTTATATATACTAGTCTTAGGGTACGCGCTTTACGCATGTATCTATATCAATGAGTATATAATTTTAAAAAATTACGTAAATATTATTAAATAATATATTTGAGTTAGTGAATAAAAATTAAAAAAATATTTATTTATTTTTGCATTCGGGATTCGTGCCTTTACAATGATATAGAAAATAGAGATACTTTTTAAAACTCCTTCTTACTCGAATAACATCTTTNGTGAATAAAAATTAAAAAAATATTTATTTATTTTTGCATTCGGGATTCGTGCCTTTACAATGATATAGAAAATAGAGATACTTT